CCCAGGAGTACATGTCGGCCTTTTCTCGTGTGAATGAGGCCTAAGTGTTTGGGTAAAAATGTAAGGCAATGCTATGCTGTGCAATGTATATTTGTTTGATCTGAATTCATTATTAAAAAAAAGTTTAATACTACTTTAATGAGGTCAAATCAACCATCATTTTTGACCGCATTGATGAAAGAAATTGCAGGAGCAGGATTAAAACTTTGCTCGAACGAAATTCTAACAGTGATACTGAATTTTTAAAACAAACTAAATTGCAATTTCACGTGAACATTCTAAGCCAGTTTGACCAGCCTAGAATTATAGGGAATAACCCCCCATGAATGTTTGGTGTCACATTGACTACTTTATGACTATTCCCCTTTTAAGTGTTCATTTTAAAGCGATCCTATTACCACTTGTAATGTTTATATTTTATTACTGCAGAGGAGAAGGGCAGCATCATTCCCACTAGCAGCCCACAGGTTAAACCTTTGCTATGTTGCACTATTACAGGCACAACTATAATATTTCCATTTTAGACAATTCTGAGCGTGTCAATAATCTGTTGTTGCATTCCTCCACCCTGGACGCTAAAAGACATATGGTCCCTGGAGTTCTCTCTCACCCACAGCTTATGCTGTCTTGCTCATAGACATCCTAATGACATGGAAGGCATGGTGGGCAGACTCAGGCTTTGGAGCTTCTAGGTTTTTCGATTCGTTAAAGTACAAGCAAAAGTGAATCCCAAATTTCAAGGAATTTGCTCTGGAAAAACTGTTGGGTTCTCAGCATTTACCTATAGCTATTTCTTTGAGTTTGTTGCTCACTAAACAGGTATTAGCTGGGCATGGATAAGAGATAGGGGAAATATATGTTAATAATAAGCACATTTTTATGTGATTGGTGTCCACCATCCTTCCGCCATGATATGATACGCAGGGACTGGTATCTTCTGCATATTGTGTTAATTGCAGATGCAATACTCATACCTCCTTAAATGTGTTATTTTAGTTGTGGTAGACAAAGTGAGTGTATCACATCATGTGTATGGTCTAACAAACGTTGTTTGTATGATTATAGACATCAGAAGAAGAAGCAAGTTCCAAGTTCTTTGACACAAAAAGTGTGTCTATATTGTCACCTATATGTAATGTGGTATAACATATCTCTAGTTTATTGACAAAACGCTTAGTGATGATTAGAGGCACATGTATGGGTCTAAATGAATTCTGTGGTATCCTCCAACCATATGTAAATGTATAGAAGTACTTTGGCTCTTTGAACATTACTCTTTCTTTTTTATTTGAATGACTTTATATAATGATTGTAAATAAAATTGATGCTTTCTAGAGTCTAATATTCTTTTGTTTTTGAGCTGTGAGCATCATGTAATAAGTTCATAAATGTCCGCCCTTTTACTTTTCCAGCAGTGCCATTATGCCAGTCAATGTCAGGATAGTTCAAATCTCCCAATAATACTACTGTCCCCGCCCTTGCAGCCCTTTCTATTTGTTTAAGGAGCTGAGTCTCAAAACAATACAAACAAATGATTTTAGGGAAGTTTATGAACAACTATCATAACCTAATTATGTTATAATCATGCATTCTCCATTGCATGATTATTCAGCAATGGAGAATGGCAATCGGCTATAGAGGACTACAAATCTCAGCAATCCATGATTATTCAGAAATGGCGAATGGCAACCAGAAATCATAGATTGCTGAGATTTGTAGTCATTTATAGCCGGTTGCCATTCTCTATTGCTGTATAATCACTGATTATTCAGCAATGGAGCATGGCAACCAGCAATAGAGGACTACAGATCCCATCAATCCATTTATAAACAGCAATTGATTATTCAGCAATTATACAGGGATGTGTGCAGTCTCACCAAGGCTGAGTTTGGGTCTTACCAGGGATGCATGCAGGTCTCACCAGGGCTACATTCAGATCTCAACAGGGTTGCGTGCAGGTCTCACCAGGGCTCTGTACAGGTGGGTGCCGGGCTCTCCAGGCAGGTACCAGGCACTCCAGGGCTCTGCGGGTGGGTGCTTGTGCTCTCCAGGGCTAAACGGGTGGGTGCCATGCTCCAGGGTTGTATGGGCAGGTGTGGGGCTGTGCCAGTCTCTGTGGGCACCGGGAAGGAGGAGGAGATGTGGGGGCGGACCGGCGCTGTCAAAGACAGCTACCGCGAGGTCCCCAGCAGGCTGCCTGAGGTCGCCAGGAAGCATGGGACCTCAGGCAGCAACTCTTGATTAAAAATGTAAAGGGCCCGTATCGGCCTTTAGTATCGGGGCATTTTCACAGGTACAATCACTCGTGAAAATGCCCTGTATCGGCCCTGATACCAATACTAGTATCGGTATCAGGACATCCTTAATATTTACCCATGATGGCTCCATGTCATTACAGTCTTTACATATATCTTTATACAAAAATGGTCTTAGACATGATTGTATAAAAAGCTTTTGCCCTCTGTTGCCTTTTGTATTTCTTTTTTTTTTTTCTGTAGAAAAACACAAAAGCAAAAGTCTTTCAAATGCATTATGCAGCACACCACAGTTTACTCAGACCATTGTGATGTGCTGTACTTCAGGCCAGTGGCGGAACTACCGCCGGTGCAGGCGGTGCGGACGCACCAGGGCCTTGGGGCTCTAGGGGGCCCAGCGCCGGATCGGTACCCAGCGGCCAGCGGGCCCCAGGCACATTGCTGCCTACTGTAATTGTTCATTGTGGGGCCCTTCTAAATGAATGTCACAATACATATTCCATCACGTATGATGTCATGATGTCAAACTGCCTTACAGGGAATTTGTTGATGGTTTTCTGTACAAATATCACCCTTCTTACTATTCCCAGCTACTCCCAAACCAAATATCCAAAACCCCAAATCTTTCTACCTGCACCAAATAAAGCCGAACTCTAGACAATACAATTATAAAATACACTCTCCATAATCATTATTACATCATTAAATGTGTTTTTTAGCTGCAAGCATTGTAAGTACCTGACTTTGACCTGGTATCAGCCTCTTGCAGTCCCTGTATAGCAGAGCTGGAGTCTGAGAAGAAGAAGCAGTAGAAGGTGCCAATCAGTTCATGTGCTAACAAGAAGAATGCGGATAGGAAGAGAAAGCAGAGTGATGGAGAGATGAGCTCATCACTGTGGTGCTTCTCCTTTCACTGTCCAATCACAAGCCAGAATGGGTCATGGATGACCTTGGCTCAAAGGAAGCTAGTTGAATAATGATGGTCATCAGACTGAAGATATCTAGTTGCAGAAAAATACTTTGTGGGAAAAATTCTGGAGTGAAGTTGAATATTGAAGCAAAAGCTGTTTTTGTCATTTCATCTTTCAATGAGATATACATTTTTATCTTGTCATTTCTCTCTGGCACTCAGGCTTTAGGTACTTACAATTACTCAGCAGACACATTGATAATTGTATAAATCTTTAATACTTCACCAAGAGCTACTTACATGAAACATTAAAGTGACATTAAAGTCAACCTTTTTTTTGCCCCTTCCCAATCCTGCTGTAAGCACTTAACTTAAATGATGCCTCTTGATTCTTTCCTGTCGTTTTCAGCTGTCCCTCCAGCGCTGCTGCGGGTCTCCGATTCAACACTGACTCCTCTGTGTTAGCTGGCGCTCCCTGTCCCACGGTGTATGTGCTGGTGCACGCTGTTCCATAGACTTATCTTGTGTCTCTCCTTGTCTCCCGGCCGAAGATCTAAACTGCGCATGCGCCCGCCCCAAGATGCTTTGCGGCCGGCCGACACTCTTCAGATGTTCGGACGGGAGAGCGCGACGAAGACACAGGTAAGTTTTAACCTGTTTGAAAAGGTTTTTAAAAAAATTTTTTTGCATATATCTACAGTTTGCTAGCACTAGATATATGCATAAAACACTGAGAGTTTATTAACCCTTTAAAGCTATGCTATACTAGTACTGTGATTACCCCTATTTAACTTTGGGAGCCCTTACATCAGGGGTGGCAAACACAAGGCCCGCGGGCCGAATACGGCCCGCCGGACCTTGTAATGTGGCCCGCACAGCAGCCACCTCATTTTGCCGGGGTGTGGAATTCGTATCGCCCGACGCCCGGGATATGTAGTTCCGGGCGCCGGGCAAGTAGTTTTTTCACTGTTTTAGCCCTGCTACGGACAAGTAGCAGGGCTGGTTTGACGAGCGGCGCTGCGAGCGTGGAGCACACTTTCCCAAGTAATTTGGGGAAATGGAATTACCCGCACAAATCTCCATCCCACTATACTTCGGCGAACGGTCCTTCCCCCTCCACCAGTATGGGTGTACTATCTGTACCTGTTCCATGTGAATTTCACTCGCAAATTGCAAGCACTCGTTGGTCAACACGGTCACCTGACGGCACTGACCAATGAGAAGCGCTTCTTAGCACTGCTAAACACGGTTTTGGTTAGAATTATTTTTTTTGTATCAGGACAAGTAGATTGTCATGAAGGACAAGTAGATTCGGCCCCCGCTTTAGTCCTTGGACAAGTAGTTTTTTCCAAAATTTCCACACCCCTGTTTTGCCAGGTTGGGATTTCAGCATAGTCCTATACAACCGGCCCTTTGAGGGTAGCCATACTGCTGATGCGGCCCCCGATGAATTTGAGTTTGCCACCCCTGCCTTACATTATAAGCAGCATTCAACCTTCTTTCATTTCACACAGGGGACATGAACTGAAGAAAGGTCCCAATTAAAAGCATAATATTTACCCAAACCAAACTGGTGCACAAGGGCAGGCTGGCATAAATGGAATACCTGTGTGCCAAGAGGGCATTATTTGCCCTCAGCCCCCAGTACTAGATCAGAAGCTAAATCCCTTTGTCCTTTGTTATGCCAGTTGTGAAAATCATATGGAAAGGAAAACAGGTAGAAATATTCTTGTTAAAAAATGTTAAAAGAAGCCAGAATCCTCTAAATCTAATACAGGTAGGTATGGCCTTGTTATTACGCAAATAAAAGTGCAGATTTATTTACCGATCCGTACCTGAGCGTTTCTTCATTTTTCCTTGATCATCTGTGATGTTCTTAGGAAAGGGGCAAAGTACATCCTAGCTCAACACCTCATATAATCACTTTACAGGGAGTGTCAGTTAAAGGGGAAAAGCAGGATGGTAGCCGTGTTTTACTCTCTGATCTTGAAGTCCCAGCTGTCTAGCGCAGAGGTATGCGCTGCAGAATTACCACTGCAATATATGAAAGACATTTTATTATGGTGCAATATACAGTGAGGACACAAAGAAAGCAAATATTTCATGTACTGAGTCTAAAGTCTGAAAATAGACATTACAGTGACACTAAACTCAGGAGTTACATCTTAAAAAGGCATTCAAGTTCCTTAACTATCAACAAAAATGTATCTTATTTGTGTATCACTCACAGCTGTAGATCCTCAAATCTCTGAATTGGTGCTGACACTGTCCTTCCTTCTGGAGGATGGCTACTTTTGTTCTCCATGGTCCTTGTGTGTGTTGTAAAGTAGACACCGCTCCAAGCTCACTCCTGTGATGGATTACAATCTCAGTACAAACTAGTAAACTAAACATGAGATTGTAGTCCATCAGAGGAGCAAGCTTGGAGCGGTGACTACTTTACAACACACAGGGACCATGGGGAACAAAAGTAGCCACCCTCCAGAAGAAGGGACAGTGTCAGCACCAATTCAGAGATGATTTGAGGATCTACAGCCAAGTAGTACGCAAATAAACTACATTCTTGTTAACAGTTAGGGTACTTGAATGCATTTTTAAGATTTAACTCCTGAGTTTGGTGTCATTTTAGGAGATGCATGGCTGTGATTGTAGCTGCAGGATGTTACTGGGCTTGTCAACGCCCATGAGACATGGACATAGTATGTTTACACCAGAATGAGATATAGCAGGCATAACTATCTCGATCGTAAACATTTTTGCTGACTGTAGTTCAGTAGCAGTATGCCAATTCAGCATATATAACATTTTAGAATGTTGTTAAAAGATCTATATACGGTGCTGCAAATGTTGTTCAATCTGCACATAATTAGGTATTCAAAATGAACAGGAATTTTCTTTTCACATGATTTGATAATTAAAGTGATTGTTTATACAATTTTTTGAATGAAGATTCTTAACTCCTTTAATGAATCAGCTTTATGACTGACAATATCAGAATTCATACATTAATAAATCATAATAAATACATTAATAATGAATAAATCTTCCGTCCATCGCCTAGCTGGGCAAATGCTGTTCACATGGCACTACTGCAACTAGATGGAGCCGAGGAACATAGGACATTTCTATGCTACTCAGCGCCATCTAGTGGCAGCTCCACACTGGGCAGAATTAACCACTTTTTAACCACTTCAAGACCAGGTGTTTAGACCCCCTTCCTGGCTAGGCCATTTTTCAGTGTTCAGCGCTGCAGTACTTTGACTGACGTTTATTCCGTCATGCAACGCTGTACTGAAATGAATTTTATACCATTTTTTGGGGACAGATAGAGCTTTATTTTGGTGGTATTGAAACACCACTGGGGGATTTTTTATTATAATTAGAAAAAATTACAGAAAAATGTGGAAAAAAAAGGTTTTTTTTACATTATGTTAGGAAACATTTATTATTACCCAGTTTTTTGGTAAAATATAAAAGATCGGGTCACGTCGGGTAAATAGACACCAAACATGTCAAGCTTTAAAATTGCGCGCACCCGCGAAATCGCAGAAAATTACCGTACCCAAAATTGGCCATAGGCGACAAGACTTAAATTTTTTTTCCTACCAAACTTTATTGCTAACACATATGGGGGCTAATAATAAACCCCCCCCCTATGTGATAGCAAAATATGTGACAGGTCCTCTTTATGGAGACATCAGGGGTCTCCAAGACCCCCTGTCACCTAGGACCCCCCAAAAGAAGCTGATGAAGCACAGATCTGCTCCATCAGCTTCTGAAGCTGGAGAGTGACACAAGAATGCGGAAGTGATGTATTATACAACACTTCCGCATTCTTGCAGAGGAGAGGGGACCGGAGGGAGCTCGTGTACCAAGCTCCCTCTGATCCCCTGTGACACAGGGGACATGCTGAACCCGGGCTCGCACCGGGCACAGTGGAGCCCGGGATGAGCGGGACAACGGCAGGGGGGCGCGGAGGGGGACGACGACACACACCGATCGGCACCCCATACACGCGATCTGCCGGCTCTAAAGCCGGCGGATGGCTTGTATGGTAACAGGCATCGCTGCCTGTTTTTTAAAAACATCAATTTCCCGCTCACGTGTCTGAACCGACGTCTAAAGACGCCCGCTCAGATCTAGAGAGCTCCAGGCCGGCCGTTTTTCTACTATGGCCGGCCCGGAGGCAGTTAAAAAATTACATGTGACAGACTTTTTCTTCCTGGAAGATTTCTTTAGTATATTGAATAAAACAATAAAATGATAATTCCAAGTGAGAGTAAGACCATTTTTTAAAATATCTGTAAGTAATTTGTTTTTTGAGCACCATGGAGACTAGGTCCATTTAAGGCAGAAGCTCCATATAGAGACTGCAGGCTCAATCATATTTCTCCTGCATGTGATAAAAATGAATGGAGAGTAACTCTCTTTTGTCTGTTTTGATGAAAAACTCAAGATAGATTCTACATAATTTGTTTTAAAACATAACATGTTTCATCAAACAATACAAAAAAGCATGCAGCTTGACAACTGGACAAGATGCATAAATTATTACAAATAGTTCATAAATGTTTTTTCGAGTCCTTACGTGTGACCATGTGGAGCAGAGAAGAAATCTAATACTACTTTAAATGATTTTTTTGGATGGATATACTTTAGCTGTACTGGTATCTAAAGGGCTTGCCATCCTCTGGTTACGGAGACTAAAACTCATGGCTGCAGATCCAGTACAAGCCCCATCTCTCCCATACAATCTTACCCCTGCAACATTCTCTATAATATAATAATAATAAAAAATTCAGTAAGGAGATTTAGGGGTTGATTTACTAACCTTATAAACACACCACGAACATGTATACACCTCTGTAGTGTGTTCCCTCCCAGCATGATCTATGGGTGGAATCTAAACACCTTTGTAGTGTGTACACACCCAGTAGGTGTGTTGTGCAAAGCCCTGCCCTTAATTGCAAGGTGATGTTGTGTAAATTAGCTCTACGTTGTGTTGCTTCCTTTGATGAATGCAGGAATGTAAATGCATGAGCTAACCATTTTTGTCTAAACTGTGAAGCAGCATTATATATGCATCATGTGCATGATTTTTCCATATATGGCATTAGTGGAAATATGCTTATAGAGACTTTTTGGTTGATAAATACGCTTTGCTGTGTAAAAATCACACGCACCTGGTGCGTACGTGTGTTTTAGGTTAGTAAATCACCCCCTTAATATCTTAACAATGACCACTTCAAATGTTCCCTGCCGTCAACAATGGACCGGTAGGTTATGACACCAATAACTGCTTTCAGAACCACTGTTGCACCTATCTTGCCTATGGGGGACTTCTTAATGCTAGTGATTACTTTTTATGCCATAGACAAAGAAGGGGGTGAACGAAAGGGTTTGTGGTGAGATGTACATCGAGCCATGTGTAAAAATATCTCAAATTTATTGTACATAAAAATCATTTTAGTTGATAAGAATCATAAATAACATCATTACATACATGTAGTGGATATAAAATCCCAATTTTAACCAACATGATGTATCCCTTCTTAATAGGCAGCCCATAATGCATACATTGATTTAATAAAATAAAATTCTGATACATATCAGCCGTGATTGATTCCAATTGATGCATTCATTGTGTAATCTCCAAAGTATGTATATCAACATTCATCCCTACGCGTTTCGCCTTTCAAGCTTCTTCAGGGGATAGGATTCATCTATTAAATGGAAATTGTACATAAGGTTATTGTATTTCCTTAGTTTGGGCATGCCCATCTTGCTGTAGTGCCTATGTTAAGTGGGGGAACACATTGCTGGAATTAACCCCCATGTGCGGAAAACCACACACGGGGCAGGTGTCTGGTACTCACCTGTATGGAGCACCTGGAGGTGGGTCGACGTGAGGAGGACTGGGATGAGGTGGGTGGCTAAATCTAGCCCTGCCATCACATACCGTCCATCATCTCTAACGGGACCCCGGGGCCTCAAAGGAAGGAATGCCCTAGGCACTGCAAGAGAGCCAGATCCCAATCGGAGCGGTGACCTGTAGAGAGCATATAGCAAAGATCAACTAATGATATTGCTTGTTATTTGATAGATCCAGTGAGTGACATTGTGCAAATTGCAAAATAACTTAGTTTGAATATATATATGTATACATATACATACACACACACATATACATATATATATTATATATACATGCACATACATACATACACACACACACATATATGTGGTCTAGCCAGTGTTGGCTACTACTCTATACAACCTTTTAAGTGTGCCATGTTCTATGAATAGGCATGTGTTTGTATGGACTTAGTGCAATAATACCTTCTTTCAAGGATGAGTGATGTGAGTGAAGAAAATAAATATATAAATATATACTCACATATATACGTGAAAAATTGCTCCTACGTTTCCTTAGGTGAAAGTCAATTGCTGTTAGTGAATGTGTATCACATATATATATGTGTGTCTGCAGTCTAGAGCATGGCAGCCGCATGTGTGTTTCCCAAATCCCAAATGGGATGTATATATACTGATGAACACTGCTGTTAGGTGTGTGGAATCCCCACTAATTGGAGCACAGCAACAAAAATCAATGCCTCAAATAAGTGACAACCCAAAAAAAAATGAACAAAAGAGGGGGAAGGGAAATTACCTAATTCTAATCCGAAGTGTATAAGGGTGTGCTGTCCTCAGCTCTCAGCTCCAAATGGTACGCTCTCTGCACTGGCCTCAGTGACATCCCACCCCTTAAGTAACCCCCAAAGCCGAGTTGGACGCACCGAACACAGGTGTTCCAGGCGCCGATCGGCGATGTGGACTCACATTTGCGCATGCTCCGGTAAGCCGTGCATGCGTCCTGCAATCCCCATCCGCCGATACCTCAGTAACGAGGGAAGCGATC